GAGGAGAGAAGTTTCCACAGCTTAGCAGAGCTGCACATACTTATATGTGAACAAAAACTAAAAAAGAGATAAGAACATGTTTGTTTGGAAACCAGTTACAATTTTAAAGTTAAATTTGTATTTAAATTTAAGAATTAAATCATTTACCTGTTGAGAGTGTGTTGACAGTCTGTGTAGTTAGATCACTGAACTCCAGAAAATCAGTAATCAGGAGCTTTGACAGTTACAGATTTGAAAAACAAAAGGGCGGGAACAAAGAACCATAAACTCTAACACAAAGAACTATTTCAGCATAAAAGGGTTCTTCAGAATACTATGGTTCTAAATAATACCATTACTGCATGTAAATAACCATCTTTTTTTAGAGTGTAGTCAGTGACCTGGGTTACACATGTATTAAAAACCATGCAGAATAAGACCAGGAACATGGTAAATGGAACGCAAATGGGGTCAGTATTGATTTCATGTTGATTTAAAGTAAAATAAGAGGGGGAAAAACATCAAGAAATTCTCGTGCTTCTGCAGAGATATTAAGCATAAGAATGATCCAAATATGTAGGTATGTAAGTTTGTGTTGTGCATGTGCTAAATTGGGCTCACAAAAGGGGGGGAAGGCAAACTTTGCTGTGTTCATTCCACAGTCTATTCATACTCTGTCAAAATCATACCAGCTAGTTTGAGCGAAATCTAAATGTGGCTATTGCGTTCAGGCCGCCTGCAGCACATTTCTTGCACTCCCACACAGCAGTGTAGCATTAGATGTGGCAGTCAGGCAATACTGAGTGTGTGCTGACGGTCAGGGGCGTCAGTGCCATTAAATCGCATGTCTGGTACCTGGAGGCAAGCAGGCGCCCGGCCATGTGGTTTATTCACGTCCACCGCCACGAGCTGCCATCCACCAGACACGTCCTCGTGAAACATCTGCCACCAGGAGGAGAGACGGAAAGAGAGGAAAAGAAAGGAGAAAGAGAGGGTAAATTGTTAACAACTGTGAATGATTGGCATTTTGGTCAGTTACTACACACACACACACAAATGCATATTTGATAACAAATAAGTTGGGGGAAAAAAACTTGTTGGCATCAAGGACAATTGACAATCTTAAAAACAACTGCCAATTACATGATATTCAATGGAATTCTCCACCAACTTCATAACCATTTTATAAACACAGGCAAGGTCACAAGAAATTGGCTTCATGATCCAGCGAGCATCTA